GGATGAAAGCATAGTTTTATAGTGGATGCTGGGATACTAATATAACCACACTGGTGCCTTCTGACAAAGCTTTAAAGCATTGTAAGCTTAATGCATTGCATTTATATGTAATGGGCTCTTTATGATCAAATATTGTTTAATACCTCAAGATATACTTTTCTGGCATAGGTGGTCTGAAAACAAAGCTGACAGTTTAAACTATAGTTTACCCAGAGTATCCCCTCATGGAACTGACTAGAAAACTGGCGTTTCTTTCCACTGCKTATTCAGAGGAAACCAAAAGGAAAAGGGAAGCCACAGAACCTCAGCTTGGCAGAAGCCTGATATTCTTCAACCTCATGCCCAGGAAAACTCAYAGGCACTAATGGAACAGAGAGTACAGGTTGCTTTGCAGTTCACTGCAGGAATCTGTCCTCTCGTACCACTGTGTGTTTTCTAACCAGGACCAAGAAGAATGAACTCACTGCGACTTAACACAACAAAGATGAGATATGTGTCTGGATAGATAGTGATTGGATTTATTCAGACTTTTGGAAAGTTAAGGCATGGTTCAAACACATATTTCTGTTTCCTCTAAGACAGCCAACAGTATAATCATTCCATGCGTTTCAAATAACACAAGAAACTGAGACTGACTCACTGTTTCCCACTTCATTAGCTCAGGGCAGGATGTAAAGCTTATAAACACATTCTGTGAGCCTTTACATGACATAAAATTACTTGCACTGTTCTATATAAATAAGGACAGGGCACAAATATTAGACCTGTCTTCGATGATATCTGGCACTTAGGAGTTTGTGAATTAAATTGTGGGCCACRCTGCAGTGAGAGTTTGGGGGAATAGGAGCATGAAGCTTTTAAGGACAAAGCCCTCTTTCTATGTAATGCTTTGCTAGCAGCAGAATAGGGAATGTACAGGGAGGGAGATTCAGAGGTAGCTCTGGACCATAAATCTGCTATATCCTTTTGACAGTGCTGGACGTTCTACTGAACTCTTCAAACACAGCACAACCTTTGCAATCCAGCAGAGTGGCAACTGCATTGCCTACAGATATGCTCCTGAATGTTATCAGTTGCTAAACAACTAGTTTCTTCAAGTGTATTTTCGCTTCCTATGGTGTATCAGTAGAATTCCAGGTATGAAAGAATAGGAAAAGCATGCTCCTCAGAAACAGATAGCCTGTTGGCATGACAGAAAAAAAAMCAATACTCAAGTCTGTTATATAGTGTCGCAGCAATTGTATTGGGTCCGGTCTTTAAAATACTTTTTGTAACAAGAATATTGAATACAAACTAAACACATTTTGGTCCTTAGCGACTATATAAATGCATCTGAACACTTAGAGATTTGGTGAATTTTTTCACATTAGTGGCTGGCTCTGAATCAAGTCAGTGACATTTAAACATTTTCTGTGCTACAAACAAAAGGAGGCTATCTTGGTTTTCAGACACTTGCATATATTTGCAAGTCTGATCTTTAATATTTTTAATATTATTGTATGCAGAGGCTTTTGGGCATTGACATTTYCAATCTCATTCCATGAAGTATGCCAACACCTCCATAAAAATTGAGAACAAAAAATATACRTTTTAACATTTCCCTCAGCTTGGATTTTCAGAGTAACTTCTAGGCATGATCATCAAAATATCTTGCTTTAGTATTGATATTTGCAATCTCTTGGCATTCTGGTTTGTATTAGATTTTTAATATATGTACTAGATTACAAGAAGCAGTTTCTAAAATTAAAAAAAAAAAAAAAAAGACTGGAAAATATAAATCGATACATTTCTACCCTGYTCACAACTGCATATTTCAAAGGAAATTTATTCTGTATATGAGAGTATAACCAAGTCTTTGGGTAAGTAATAGGTAAGCAATAGTTTTAAAAAAGAAATAATAAAACAGAGACAGATTAGTTTACTCTTTTTTTCTCCTCTTTCTTCTATGAGGTTAAAATAACCATCAGTGATATGGTACACATCARTGGTGAAGGTTAGCACCTTTAATCACTCTGTTTTTTTGCTTTAGAAAGTCATCAAAGTCTGTGCATCTTTTCAGTTTTGCTTTTGTAAAGATTTTGACAAATTTAACTTTGGCTTTGACACACAAAATTGTCTGTAACCCAAAGCCAGCCAGTGTGGCTGTCCTGATTATTTTCTGTTTTCTGTAGTGATGCTTCAGGAATATTGAATGATATGTTAAATTTTTACTTTCGCTGTATCTGAAGGGGATTATTTGAACCTCCTAGGAGAACTGTGCAGAAGGCAGCAATGTTTTGCTCCAAGCAATGTGAACTAAGAAAAAAAAAGTGTAAATACAGCCAGAGACCAATAAATCTGTAACTGCAAATCCACTGTGGCAATAAGTAGTTTCCCTTTAATAATGAAATACCACATTGTCAAAAATAAATAAATAACTCAAGCCTACCCCAAGTAGTACAAAATAACGAGATTTTAAAACAGAGTGTCCTTTCATTCTCTAGTGTGCTCTTTGGTCATATTTCAAGTTTTCTTCTGCAACTGTAAGGGCTAAAATTTTATTTGAAAGAAGCATGGAAACTAAGACCATCACACAGTCACTTGTTGTGAGTTTCTAAGTGAAACACCAGATATTCCAGAACTGACAGTAATCCCACAGTTGGCAGCATTACTGATGACCAAATATCTCTTTATAAAACAAAGTGCGCATTGGCACTGAAGCTAAATTTCTTGGTTTGAGAGAAGAAAGAAAAACATTTATTCAATAAAGGAAAACTTACTTGCCAGTAGGAAGGAAAAGTGAAGATTTTTGTTTTTATTTTAGTGAACATATAGAGGAATAGTCTTTTGCTGCAAGATTTTAAGAGCTTAAATAATTTCTTTTTAGGGAAAAAATGTACCTGTTGACAAGAATGGTGGGGATTTGCATCTTCAGCTGACGTTTTGATCTGCAAATYAAATACTCTGAGTCAGAAGTTGCAGCTCATCTTTGGCCATAGTTCTTGTAGTGACTTAATGGATTTGCTCACTTTTATTCCTGTTATTTCTTGCTGTGTATATTGCTGCTGTCCATAGCAAGTTTGATGTAGCAAAAGTTAGCTGCCTTGGATRTAGATGTTAGGAGATCTTACAACAGGGCAGTTTTGATGCTCCAAGGAGGCAGTARATTGCCATAGGACTTTCTGAGGCACAGCTGAAGTTGCCTAACCTAGCCAGGCACAGAAGCTTGGCCTTTTCCTTTCCTTCCCATCCACTTGCCTCAAGTCAGAGCCTCTTCTGCTTCCGCTCTTGTACGTGTGATGTGGGTAAATAATGGAAGGCTGCAGCATCTTGTGCCCTTCTGCCCTCAGGGACTTACAGTAACCACAGCAGCAGCAGCAGCAGCAGCTCGCTGGGGACTCCTTGCGATGCTGCCGCTCACCTCAGTAGCTGAATCGAGACAAGCAATCTCTTGGACATTCAAGTAGTTTCTCAGTGTTTCCAGAAAACCCGAAGGAGGGTTCCTGTCGTCAGCCCTCTTAGATTTTGCAGAAGTTTCACCTCAGTCTGCAAAATAATATTAGCGTTTCCTTTCTGAATCATTCTTCAGAATTAATGTTTCAGGTATGCGCTGCAGATCTAAGGTCAGAGCTTGTCTTATCACATCGGAAACAGCACTAACCTGGAGTGAATTCGCTCTCCAAGTTAAAATCATTTATTTATTTATTTTTGTTGCAGGCTTTCTGCTGCAGCAGTTACTACTTTTCTAGGCCACTCTAAGTTTGTGCTCTACATTGGCACAAAATGAGCATGAAAACAGGATGCTGACATAAAATCACTACCACATGCTGTGATGAACTGGACAGAAGTGCCATTGTATGGCCTACCTCTGACCTTAGTCAAATTTATATTACTGTGTGATCCTTTCCAATGATCATGAATCACAGTCTCACTGCAGAGAACTTAGACTTTGAATCTTTCACGCACTCACTGCTTTGAGCTTCTCCAGATAAGTGCTAGATACTTCTTTTCTTCCTTCAGATTTCTGTTGAGCACCCTCTTCTGACACCTGCAACAGGCAGAGGATTTTTCAYATCTAAAGATGTGGACTTATTATATTTTTTTTTTGAACAAAAGCTATTCCATAAACAATGCTTATCTTATACTGTTTGCCTCATCAGGTTAATAAAACAACAGTTTGCTGGAGTGCTGTGGCCTAGATCCTGGGAGTTCCTGTGTGTAAAGCCATTCCAAAATGTTACTTCCCCTTATAGTGAGTGACATGCAGGAGGAAAAAAGACTTAATTACTGCCTAAGTAGAGTTGACTATTTAATGAGTCAGGCTGCATGTGAGGTCACTTTTTCCTCTTAATCTTCCTGAGAGTTGACATAGAGGCAGATGAGCAAACACACTGTACCTTGTGCTCATTGTATTTGAACTCTTGTGATTAGTTGTCATCAGCTGCATAAAATCATTAAGGCACAAAGCATGAGAATATGACAAGATCATGTTTTCATAGCCTCTGTCTACTTGGGTCTCTTCCACATAAGCCAGAGAAATGGCTGTGAGAAGGAGAGATATCAGAGTTTCCCAGATCAATTGGGCCTGAGGAGGAGAGAGATATTTTTGCTCTGGCTCATTAGGCAGTCCATTTGAGAGCCTCACTGAGGCCTGTGTTCTTATCACATGRCACAGTAACTTAACATTGCAAGTACCTATACAGAAAAGTAAAGATATATTTTCTGTTCCTAATGTACCAGGCCTCAGTTAAAGCTACTTGAAACTTTTCAAAATTTATAAATAAGAGATCTGTTTCTCATTTAAAAGCAATACTTACTTAAAAAACTTTGCACTGAGAGCCTTATCTCTGAGGTATTAATTGAGCAAAAGTGGTTTGATTCCCTCTATTTTTGATACAGAGTGAGACTAGTACATCCCCATTGCAGAGCTTTTTTGAGAAACATTCCATACATTTTAAATGGTTTGCTTTTTTGTATTGAATGCAGACGAGACCTTGCATCATGTCTCTGTTCTCTTCTAGGACACCAGACTGACCAGCTTGAGCTCTGCAGCATGGCTGGGCTGTGCTGTCCATCGCGTGCAGCACCCTGCCTCTTGGTGTAGCATCATGCCTGTCCAGACTGCTGGCTTGCAAGGTATGTGCATGGAGATGATGGAGCATCTTGTGCTCTCAGAGGAGCAGGAAACTTTTTTCTCACAGCAGGAATGATACAGTCATGCCTAATTCGTTTAAAAATCGTTTCTTGTGCTGGGACAAGGCCTAAAGTTTGGGGAGAGCTGTCATGGATCTGGCTCCGTTATCTGCCTGCGTGCTCAGTGTATATCCACGTGACATGAGATGGCTGACCAGGGTCTCTCTGCCCAGGCRTCTGGATTCCCATTAGTCACAGTTGCTGCTTTAATGTTGCAAGACTAGGCGCTATTATTATATAAAAAATGAATAGCAGRGCCCCATCCTCCATGAAGCCATGAGATGTGGCCTCTCCTCAGAAGAAGTTTGTGGGCAGGGGACGATGTGGGCGCCTCGGTGGGGCACCGAGCCTGTTCCTGGCTCTGCTCTTTATCCGCTGGGGGATGCGGCGCAAGGTGCTTCCTCTCCATGTGCTGGTTTCCCCTCGGGGCCTGCCTTAGTTATCCTGCAGTGGCCAGCTCTCCCACTGGCTTTAGTGTGAAACAGCTGTGGTTTTCACCAAAGGCTGGAGCCACCTTATCTAACAGAGAAAAGCACCAGGGTGAGGGCTGCGTTCCCAGCTGTGCTATCCCCCACTACCCAGCCTCTGCTGCTATTAAATGTTTGCTTTAAAAGTATCCCAGATCCAGTATGAAAGCTGATGATGTATAGCCTATTCTAAAGAAAGATCTGCCTCTGTTCAAAAACGTTTCTGACCTCTTGGCCGAAGAAGAACAAAATAACGTATTAACAAAAACAAAGTTGGCTGCCAAAAAAAAGGAGTTCCTGTAAGGACTGAAACAATAAATCTCCTCCGTACTGAACTCCCAGAGGGAGTATGTTGTGTTTCCTCCTGTTCTTTATCAAAGTCCCCAAAATAAGCAGGAATGGGCAGTGACTAGGCACGGTCTCTGCACACCTTTTTCCATGGAGTAATTAAGGCCTGCCTCAGAGTGAGAGAGCCCTCCCTGCCCAGCTGTGCAAGGGAAAGCYGACACCACCACCACTGCCACCACCAGCAGCGAGAATGAAGCTGGTGGGGATTGCCTTTTTCCTAGCTGTGTGCTGTATTTGCACTTYGGGAGGTAAGTCTTGGGCTTTCTGCAGGGAGTAGACTTGTCACATCTGTAGGGTGCTTTGTGAGCAAAAGCTCAGCTGCCAATAGCTGCATTTTTTTTTTTTCTTATCCAGTGCAGGAATTGAAAGACTGTGTGTTGGAGGAGAAGAAAGTCGTAGTTGATTCTTGAGTTGATTCTTGAGTTATATATGTGCTGTGAAAAAATGTGTGCTGTTGTATTTTTGTGGCAGTTCTTTTTCTAGGTACCGTGAATCTCCTCAGTGTGAGAGGAGTTAAAAACAGAGTAGTATTTATAAAGATTTTCTGTTCTGCTTTTCTTCTTTAAAATAAGATGATTATTAGAGCAGTGTTTTCAAGGGAAAATTGAAAAATCTGTCAGATTTTGCAAATATTACCCTTGCAAATCAGATCTATCCTGATGTGTTCCCATGCATTTCCTTGGTACTGTGCCAGCAGTAATTTTGGCCAAGGACATTTCTCAAAACTAAGATTGCTTTTGGCCCCAAATATATAAGGAGAACATATTTATCAAATGTCATATAATGAGGGTTGCAAACACAGGGGCAATATTAGTTACTGAGAGAAATACCCCTTTAACGTCATTTTCACATGTGTAGATTTAATCACATCTTAGGATGTTCAGCTGGACACCGAATTGCCATTTTCATTGTTCTTCAGCTTGAAAGATCGTGCACTTTCATAATAGAAGCAATTACTAAATCCTGAGAGGGTGAGATAAACTGGAACAAGGACCAGGGGCTGTCATCCCTTTTGTCAAAAGATAAATTTGAAACCAATTCTGCTCTCCTCTGCACGTTCATTTGCGGCCCCTTTGGGCTGAGCACTCAGACCTGAAGTTTCCAGAAACRTGTATAGCTTGCCTGTAGGTGTGTTTTGTTTGCTTGCTTGTTTTGTTTTTAAATCAGATACTAAAATAAAAATCTGTAATATTAAATTAGCTTATCAGTTAATGAACTTTTGCACAAATTATGTGTTAATATCTTAAAAAAAAAAAAAAGTCTTCTGTGATGCAGCTTATAGTAGTGCTTGGGCTCATTGCTGTTAGAAAAAAATCAGTAAAGAAGTTTGAAAGCAAYATTGTGCCATAGAAAGAACTGTTCTTACTTAGTAACACTTTCTAAGTTAAGTACAAGCTCTAAAAGTCTGTTTTGAGGTACTATTTATTCTCTGTTTGCTACTCCTAGTAAAAAATAGTCTTCCTGTCATTGTAATGCCTTTAATTTAACAGCTTCTGAAAAGCAAGATCATATTGGATCAAAAGGAGCAGAACCAACAGAATAGCCCATAAAACTTAGCAGAAAGCAACATGCAAAGGCAGGGGATTCTTCTGCACGATGTGAACAGGGCAGAACTGGTGGCCCTGAATAAGAAAATYTCATATAGGACATATTTGATCTGAGCAATTTCTGTTCTGTAAAAATAATTTCTTAAAAAACAGTTTATTGCAGGGTGGACGTGGTAGTGATTTTCTGTTGGTAAAYCAGATTGCAATCCTAAAACCATGCTTGGGGAAATCTGGATTGTCTCCGTTGTCCAAATAAACATGATCTGATGAACTCCACATCCTCYTTCTGCACTATCATTAGCAATGAGCAGCGAAAAGCTGATGTGTCCTGGTGTGCCTAGAAAAGTATAAACCACCTGTTAAGATAAAGCAGTTTTATTGAGTTTTATTGTTTGTTTCTTTGTTTTCTACGAGGTTAGGCCAAAGTGTTTAGGCTCACGTAATTTCTGATYGCTAAAGTATCCTGGACGTCTGAGCGGTAGCAGTGGGGTTTTGTAATCGGAGGAGAGAATAAGTTTAAAATTACATGCTGTAAAATTGAGAAAGGGTGAAATTATACTCAGCATTTCAATATTGACCCCCCAAAGCTCGGAGGGGTTTCTTGTCTCTTCAGTAACCAAAACAAGTAGCGYGTGGGTTTGCGGACGGTTTGTAGCCTCTGCACAAGGGATTTGTCTCTGATTGTTTTATAAATGGTGCAGAAGTGCCCCGGGATGTTTGCACTGCGGCATGTAGGGAATATACCAGATCTTCTGCAGGATTTTATGCCCTGCCTTCAACCTGTATGTTGGCTGTGCCTTCTTGCTAACTTTCTAATTCATCTTGGGATCTTGTAGTCTTGGAAGTCCTTAATGTTTTGATTAGATTCRCCCGTTGTCAGCAAATTACTAGAGTCTTTTTTGAGATGACTGAAGAGATGTTGAAGCTAACAGTGTCCTGTTATTGAGGGTTTATTTCACTATTTCAGGAGCTAAATGGCATTCTGAAGGCAGAAATTAGTTATCCTGAGGTGTTCAGTCCTGTCATATTGCCCTCTACTTTTACCTTCTACAAAATATATTTCAAACAGAAATGCTTACTGAATTGGTTCATAGCATTTCCAGACTTCAAAGAACAGTCAAGAGAGGAGTAGGTCWAAAAAGCTCTGGCCAAAACATAAGGATAAGCTGGTAGTGATACCAGCTCTAATGGTGATTCAGCTCAGTCATCATTATGGTGCATTGCTCTTTAAAATGGATTAAGATGGAGCTTGTTCATCAACATTATAGAATAGGAATTAGCATGTGCTTATAATTTAAGTGCTTAGGAAATGCATCTTCATGTGCCTCAGACACAGTAGCTGTAGCTTGTAGCWGCACCGCGTAGTGGGTGAGCTCCGTGGAGTCCATCTGTGTTGTCCATCTTGATAAGGTGCTGTAGTGCCCCTCAGCTTCCTTCTCACCCCCAAGGCCAGTTTTCTTTCCTGCAGAAATGACAGCACAAAAGAGTGGGATTTGTGTCCTCTTGGCATCAGTCTGGGCGCGTTCAGGTTATGCACTAAGTTAGGGGCTGGAATGTATTGGCTTGGCGGTTAAGCTGTGCCTTGGGTGTTTATTCATGTCTGGTTAGTGACCCCTGTTGATGGTTAGCAGGACCTTTCTCCTGGAGGGCTCYGGCAAGGAAGTGGTGGGGCTGCATGCAGAGACAGGCAGTTTTCCTTTTGAAAAAGTGGGAGCAAAACTTGGTTTTGTGTGCATGGTCCAAAAGCCATGGATGGAYGTAATTTGAAGTTGTTCCGCTGCACGTTGGATTAACCCTGACTGAGGTGTTTTCTAAGTGCCTTCCCCATTATATGGGGTCAGGGGTGATGCCATCCCTCTCCTGTGGCAGACCGAATCCCAAGCCTCAGCTGGATCACTGCAGCTGGGCTCCACTAAATCCAGGTTCCTGGAGTCACTGTCTAGATTTGTAGCTGCTTGGACTGTGGTACCATTGTCAATGTTAAACACATGAGACAAATAATCTTTTCCATTTCCATCTACTGTGCTCTCAACTCACAATTTTAAAATGCGACACTAACAAAACCATTTCTGAGCACTTTTGAGAGTGGTCTCCCCTCATGCTAGGGTATTACTCATGGCTGTGCCCTTGGAGACACACAAATACACAAGCTGCCACAGTCAGACCCCTGTTTCAGCTCTGAAAATCTGAGAAATGTGAATAGGCTTCAGGCGACCAGTCACCTTTTTATGCCTGAGCTTTCTTGAACCCAAACTGGGAATGTGCTGAGAGGTTCCTGTTGTTTAACAAATGTGTTTCAGACTTTTTCCAGTGGTCCTGGCTCTTTGCAAGAYCGGCTTTCTCAACGATCCAACTGCAGTGCTGGAGCCCACAGCCTTTCGTGCAGCTCCTGTTCCTGCACAGAGCCTCTCTTCCCCTGCTGCCACATTCCTTTAACTCATTATAGCTGCCTTATGTTAGGCCAGTTTTGCCTCGTGAATTTTAAGGATTTGTTTACTACAGGATGAAAGGGAATYGTTTGTCCTAGACCCAAACTCAAATGCAAGTTTATTTACTGAGAATAGAAATAGGTGACTTGATT